AAATATTAGATGAAATATTTAGAACAATTAGATTATTAGATGAAAGTTATGCTTGTCTTCAATCTCAGTTGTTAGATAACAAATAGAGCAAGCCTTTTTTATGCTATAACTTAGAAAGTACAACTTCCGATCATAATTTCTGATTTTTCCATCTTTCCCACTCCATGGTCACACAAAATCTGTTTTTTAACCTCATTAAGACCTACAAACCTTGGCAGTATTTCTAGTTTCCTAGGACATTCCTTCTCTAACTAACTTCCTTTCTTATACAGCTTAGTATAAAAAGTATGTAACAACACAGGAAAATATGAATAGTATAATATTCAGTAAAAAAAAAAAAAAAACAGGCTACCATATTTTATTTATGTATAGTATTCATGATTGTAGCTATATAAATAAACAAAAGAGTTATGTAAGGATGGGATACCTGGGTGGCTCAGTCGGTTGAGCATCCAACTCTTGATTTCAGCTCAGGTCATGATCTCATAGTTCATGGGATTGAGCCCCACATTGGGCTCTGAGCTGACAGCAAGGAGTCTGCTTGGGATTCTCTCCCTCTCTCTCTGCCCCTCTCCTGCTCGCGTGTGCGTGCTTGCACTTTCTCTCTCTCTCTCTATCAAAATAAATATATAAACTTAAAAAAAAAAAAAGAAGTCACTTTAAAAAAAAGTTATGTAAGGATATACTCCAAACCATTACTCTTGGATATTTTTTGCACAGGGGTGGGAGTAAGGTTATTTTAATTGAGTATCATTTTCTCTACTTCAATTCTTTACCATAATCAAGTAATAGCAGAAGAAATATATCAAGGTTTGCATATAAAATGCCCTGGGGGCACCTGGGTGGCTCAGTTGGTTAAGCATCCAGGCCTGGAAACTGCTTGGGTTTCTGTATCTCCCTCTCTCTCAGCCCCTCCTTGGCTCACGCTCTGTCTCTCTCTCTCTCTCTCTCTCTCTCTCTCTCTCTCTCTCTCTCAAAAATAAATAAACATTAAAATGCTCTGGAAGGGGGGCGCCTGGGTGGCTTGGTCGGTTGGGCGTCTGACTTCGGCTCAGGTCATGATCTCACGGTCAGTGAGTTCGAGCCCCGCGTCGGGCTCTGTGCTGACAGCTCAGAGCCTGGAGCCTGTTTCAGATTGTGTGTCTCCCTCTCTCTCTGCTCTTCCCCTGTTCATGCTCTGTCTCTCTCTGTCTCAAAAATAAATAAATGTTAAAAAAAGTTAAAAAAAAATAAAAATAAAAAAATAAAATAAAAAATAAAATGCTCTGGAAGGGAACACATAAACACATACTCATACATGTACACTGGTGGCATTTGTATTAGTGAGGTAGAATTACAAGTCATTTTTCTTTTCTCCAATACTTCTTTAAAATGTATGTGTATGTTTTTGATGCTCTAATTTTAAAATAAAAATTTTAACAAAAAGGACTTTGAATATTATTTTAAAACGTGTTGACTGGTTGACTCCACTTGCTTTTACTATATTAATCCATGATTTTGTATTTGTCTTACTATAATCACCACTATGCTTCTCTGTAGGCATAGTTACTTACCTATCTCTTTGGAATCAGAGAGCTGAATCTTGTGCCTCTTTTTTTTTTTTTTTAATAGTTTTTAATGTCCAGTGTGATATATTGTCAGTCATATCAATACTGAAGTGATTCAGTGTATAAGAATTTATATTTTTAGATATTTACTGAGCATCTACAATACTCTGGGTAATGTCCTAAACATTAGAGGAAACAAACGATGAAAAAGACACAGTCAATGCCTTTAATAAAACATGTTAAAGGACTTATTTTTACTTTCTCACAGAGATGGTGAATTGATAACTCTTGGGAAAAAAAGCATGAGGGTCTTAAAAGATACAAAGCCTTGTGAATGCTAAGCACTCCATATGTTAGCATTTTTATTCGTGAGATTATGGTGGCTAGTTAGCTAGCAAATATTTTTATATTGCTTTATGTTTAAAAAAATGTTATTAATGTTTATTTATTTTTGAGAGACAGACAGACAGACAGAATGTGAGTGGGGGAGGGGCAGAGAGAAAGGGAGACAATCCAAAGCAGGCTCCAGGCTCTGAGCGCAGAGTCTGATGTGAGGCTCGAACCCACAAACCGTGAGATCATGACCTGAGCTGAAACCGGACACAACTGACTGAGACATCCAGGCACCCCATATTGCTTTATGTTTTAGATCACAATTGAAAATGTGACATGACAATGGGGAAAAGACCCAAACTAAGAGTTTGGAGGTCTAGTTTCAAGTCTCAACTCAGCAACTAATTAGCTGCATGAAGATGGACAAACTACTTAAATTTTCTGTGCAATTTCTTCACGTGTAAAATGAGGGTCTAAACTAAATGATCTATAAAGTTCCTTCCAACCTTAAAATTTAACTATCCTCAGGGCACCTGGGTGGCTCAGTCGGTTGAGAGTCTGACTCTTGATTTCGGCTTAAGCCATGATCCCAGAGTGATGGGATTGAGCCCCACGTCAGGCTCCATGCTGAATGTGGAGGCTGCTTGAGGTTCTCCCTCTGCCCCTTTCCCCTACTCCTGTACTCTCTCTAAAAAAATTAAAAAAAAAAAAAACTTTAAAGAATCTAAAATTTAACTATCCTCTGTTGAGACATATCAGAAACATCATATGACTTGAAGGTGATGATGGCTTTATTACCAGTTCTGAAAAATGCTAATTCCAAATCTGTGCAAGTAATTATTGGATCTCATGTTTGTGAAACATCAGATATTACTACTGTTACAGAAACCAAATTAGAACACTGTGTCATATTTCCAAGCAGTGCTATGCACACAAAACTAGCATATATAATACTATAGGTCCTAAACAATATAAACATAGAGATTAAAGAGAGGCATTTTTTTTTAAATTTTTTTTTTCAACGTTTATTTATTTTTGGGACAGAGAGAGACAGAGCATGAACGGGGGAGGGGCAGAGAGAGAGAGACACACACAGAATCAGAAACAGGCTCCAGGCTCTGAGCCATCAGCCCAGAGCCTGACGCGGGGCTCGAACTCCCGGACCGCGAGATCGTGACCTGGCTGAAGTTGGACGTTTAACCGACTGCGCCACCCAGGCGCCCCAAGAGAGGCATTTTTAAAATGAGTGTTGTATGACTTTTTTTGAGTTTTCATGAACTAAGATTTCATTTCTCTGGGTGTTCACAAACATTATGTTTCAGTTCCTTAAATGAAAATAGGTGAGTGGGCAGGTTTCTCAGAGCTACAGTCTTTACTTTAGGGACTGTCCCTTTCCCCTAAAGTTTACTTTAGAAATGGTGGTACATGGACTCATGTTGGATAGGAGGGACAATAGGTGAAATTGATGATGGCAGGATCTGGGTCTGCTGACATACTCCAAGCTATTTACATATATTTTTAAGTTTATTTATTTTTGAGAGAGAGAGAGATCAGGGGAGGGCAGAAAGGGGGACAGAGGATCCCAAGCAGGCTATGCACGAACGAACCTTGAGATCATGACCTGAGCCAAGATCAAGAGTCGGACACTTAAACAGCTGAGCTACCTGGGCACCTCTATTTACCTTTTTTTTTTAATGTTCATTTATTTTTGAGAGAGGGGGAGACAAAGGATCCAAAGCCACCCAGGTGCCTCTTATAATTAAAAAAAAATTTTTTTTTTTATTTAAGTGATCTCTATACCCAACATAGGGCTTGAACTCGCAACCCCAAGATCAAGAGTCACATACTCTTCCAACTGAGTCAGCCAGGCACCTCTGATTTTTTAAAGTTAATCTATATATTCCATTTTCTTGCCAGCAATTTCTGCTGTATCAACACTTTTCCAGATTAAAAATTTGGGACTTTTGGGGGCACCTGGGTGGCTCAACTGGTTAAGCATCTGCCTTTGGCTCAGGTCATGATCTCGGGGTTTGTGAGTTCAAGCCCCGCATCAGCTCCCTGCTGTCAGCACAGAACCTGCTTCAGATCCTCTGTTCCCCTCTCTCTCTGCCCCTGCCCTGCTTGTGAGCGTGCGCTCTCTCTCTGTCTCAAAAAAATAAATAAATAAACTTTAAAAAAAATGTTGGGGCTTTTCTTTGCCCCTTGGTTCTCCTTAATTCCCTATAACGAGCTGGTCACCAAGGCCTATAATTTTTTCTAATGTCTCTTGACTGTTTTCCTTCCTCTTCATCTTTACTTCATTTCCACATTCAGGCTCATGCTTGTTTCAGGCTCATGCTTGTTTCACAGCAATAACCTCTTCATGGAAGCTTTCATGCAATCAGTCTAATTTCTTGAACCACTTGCCTTCATCATAGCACTATCTGGTTTAAGAATTTGCAATTTTCAGGGCACCTGGCTGGCTCAGTTGTTGGAGCATATGACTCTTGATCTTGAGGTTGTGAGTTTGATTTTTTTTTTAATATTTATTTATTTTTGAGAGAGAGAGAGATGGAGCACAAGCAGGGGAAGAGTGGAGAGAGATGGAGACAGAATCTGAAGCAGGTTCCAGGCTCTGATCTGTTAGCACAGAGCCTGACGTGGGGCTCAAACTCATGAACTCTGACATCATGACCTGAGCTGAAGTTGGACGCTAAACTGACTGAGCCACCCAGACACCCCTTGGGGTTGTGATTTGAGCCTCACATTGGGTATAGAGTTTACTTAAAAAAAAAAAAAAAATCTTGCAATTTTCTCCATTGTCTACAAGATAAAACTAAACTACTCCTCCCAACATTCTAATCCCTCCATTACCAGATTTTAACCTTATTTCTCTGTTTTTTAGTATGTATTCATATTAATGTTATGATAGCTGCTATAACAAAGAGACACAAATGGCTCAGAAAAGACAGAGACTCATTCCTTTCTTTTTTAAAGTTTATTTATTTATTTTGAGAGAGACAGCAGGAGCAGGATAGGGGCAGAGAGAAGTAAAGAGAGAGAATCCCAAGCAGGCTCTGCACTGCCAGCTGCAGAGCCCAACACAGGGCTCAAACCCAGAAACCATGAGATCATGACCTGAGCCAAAAGCAAGGGTCAGATGTTTAACCGACTGAGTCACCCAGGCTCAGAAATTCATTCCCCAGAAATTCATTTCTTAATTTAGTGTCTGAGTTCCAGGCTGCTCCATGCAGTCATACAGGGTCCTTCCATCTTGTTTCTCCATTCAACAGGGTTGAATATGGATCACAGGACATCTTCTTTTTAGCCCTTGAAAAGGCAAAAAAGCAGGCTTGCCATCTGAAAGTCTCTGCCTAGGAATGGGTGGGCGCATATTATCTCTACTCAAGGGAAGTTGGAGATACAGCACTATTCAGCAATCATGTATCAAGCTACAGTTAATACAGAAAAAGAAGAAAAGTTGGGCGAGGTAGCTGCATATGTTGAAGGACCTAACCAGCAGATTGGTGTCTTTTGCAAGATTGACATCATGGCAGATCCAAAAACTGATGACCAATTACATTTCACTGATATCAAAAAATATTTCAACTCTTATACTCTCACAGGTAGAATGAATTCCGTACTGGCCACATATGGAGGCATTGCTTTGATGGTCTTATACTTCAAGTTAAGGTCTAAAACAACACCAGCTTTGAAAGCAACATAAATGGATTTTAAACTGTACCTCATCTGTTAAGTTCCCAAGCCCAGAGAAGCTAATGTCAATTCATCATCTGGTATTCAATTTGTACAATACATTATGAACCTGGAAAAAAGAAAAGAAGAAAAAAGAAGTCAGCTAGCTCTGTGTGCCACACGCCCTCTGCTTCCATTGTCCTGGTCTCTCCAACACTCAGCTTTTCTTTCCTTCTCTCCTTCTCTTCTCTCCACTTATCCAAATAACATTCACCCTGTTAAAGTATTACCTCCTCTTATACATATTGCAGCCATATTAAAGAATGTCTCAGTAAGCTGAAGGAAGTGGAAATAGTTCCAGGCTCTTTAAAACTGATTTGTAGATCCTGGTCTTTGCTCTTTATGAAGTGCTTCCCCCCTTACTTTTGTTTTTTACAACTTCTTGAATTCTTGGAAGTGGATTTCAGAAATCTTAAATAACACTCACAGAGTAATAAGTAAAAAGGGGAATGGTGGGGGTGGGAAGAGGGGTTGCCAATAGCACGGGTAGAATCCACTTCTAATGGCTGAGTCCAGCTACCACAACTATTTGTCCTGACTTGAGAGTACTCTAATTGGGATTAGAGTGTAGTCTTGATAAGGCTTAATTTCTTGTAAAATACCCTTGTTGCCTAAATTGATGTAAAATATCTATGTAAACTGTGCAACCAAGGGAAGGTAATGCAGATAAAAAGGGTATCAAAGAGAAGCAGTTTGGCAACGTTCATCCAGAATTATCTGAGGGAAAGACACTGAATCTGATGAACAGGATCATTCTGGTTATTAGAGAAGTGTAAAAATAATTGCTTCTTTACATATATATATTTTTTTAACTTTTAACTTTTTATTTTTAAGAGAGAGAGAGAGAGAGAGAGAGAGAGAGAGAGAGAGAACATGCACAAGTGGTGGAGGGGCAGAGAGAGAGGGAGACACAGAATCTGAAGCAGGCTCCAGGCTCCAAGCTGTTAGCGCAGAACCTGATGTGAGGCTCGAACCCACTAATCATGAGATCATGACCTAAGGTGAAATCAGACACTTAACCAACTGAGTCATCCAGGTGCCCTGAATGCTTCTATATGTTGAAGTATTTAGGGAGAAGTGTACCAGTGTAGGGAATTGATTTTGAAATATGTTTTTAAAAAAATAAGGTAGATGAGAGGATGGATAGAGGAATGGAAAAATGGCTAGACAGGTGGTAAGTGTAGTGAAATTTATATTAAGGGTAGAATCTAGTTGGTGAGTGTATAGATGCTCCTTGCAAAATTCTTTCAACTTTGCTGCATGTTGAAAATTTTTATAACAAAATAGGATAGAAACCTGCTAACATTTTTTTTTAATTTTTTTTTTCAACGTTTATTTATTTTTGGGACAGAGAGAGACAGAGCATGAACGGGGGAGGGGCAGAGAGAGAGGGAGACACAGAATCGGAAACAGCCTCCAGGTTCTGAGCCATCAGCCCAGACCCTGACGCGGGGCTCGAACTCACGGACTGTGAGATCGTGACCTGGTTGAAGTCGGACGCTTAACCGACTGCACCACCCAGGCGCCCCCCTGCTAACATTTTTTAAATACTTTCCCTGTGTCAGACCCTTTACATTAATGATCCCATTTCATCCTCAGGACAAGCCTGTAAGACAGACACTATATTATTATTAACTCCATCTTATAAATGAGCAAACGAGCACAGAGAGGTTAAGTGACTTGCCTGACATACCACATTTAAGATGAGGCCAATCTAAGATTTAAATCCAGGTGTGTGTTGTTTGCAAAGCCAGATCCCTTGGTTATGGGACAGGGATAAGTCAACAGGCTTTTTTCACAGCCTCCATAAAATATTATTCAAGATTCTATCATTCATTTTTCCTGATTCCTTATCCATGAAGCAGTCTTCCTACTTCTTCCCAAACAACTTGTATCTGGGAAAAGAGTGTCCTACGCCTAGTGGATGAACTACATCTCTGGTCACGAGAAAAGCCTGTGATCAAACTCCAGAGCTGTGTTGGTTCTCAACTGTTAGTGGAAAACAGATGTCATCTATGTGGGGTACTGGGCTTTCATATTCATCACTAAATCAAGCGCCTATCAGTTACGATGTTCACTTGGAAGGGTAGGATGCCATTGCCTTTTGGCCCGGCTGTCCATTTGAACTCTGGTAGGCTACTATTAACCTGGGGCTCCCCTGGTCCCTCCAAGTACTTTCCTTAAATTCACCCAACACCATCCATTGTTTTTCTGGCCCTTTGCTATTATCACTTCGGTTTTAAAATTTACTTCTGTGTAGGGGCACCTGGGTGGCTTCAGAAAGTTAAGCATCCAATTCTTCCTTGGTCATGATCACAAAGTTCATGAGTTCGAGCCACACGTCAGGTTCTGCGCTGACAAAGCAGAGCCTGCTTGAGATACTCGCTCTCTCCTCTTTCTCTGCCCCTCCCTGGCTTGTTCTCTCTTTCTTTCTCAAAAATAAATAAATAAAATTTAAAATTTATTTCTCTGTTAGTTGTTACAGTAGCAAGAATATACCCAACAGTATTATTACAATTTTCATCTACTAACGGAACTTTTACTTTTGTTGGCATCATAGAGTGATGGCAATAAAATTTATTGCCAACAATACTACTACAATTTGTATGACCCTAAGAAACAAATGTACCAAATGAATATCTCAATATAAAGGTTCTTATAGGGTAAATTGGTTCCCTGCTGGGTCTTGGATTCTTTAGTGGAACACAGTAAGTTGAGTATCAGGGCTTTAGTGAAGAGCAAATCTTGTCAAAGTGAATTTTGAGGGACAGAACTCTTAGGACAGTCAAAGAAAAAACATGGATCCCAGAGCCCTTCCCCTACCTACTAAATCAGAATTTCTGAGAATGGGTGCAAGTAATGTGCATTCCAAACAAGCTCCCCAAGTGATTCTTATGACCACCAAATTTATTTTAAAAAATGTTCTTAATGTTTATTTTTGAGAGAGAGAGAGAGAGAGAGAGAGAGAGAGAGCACGTGTGAGGAGGAGGGGCAGAGAGAGAGAGGGAGACACAGAATCCGAAGAAGGCTCCAGGCTCTGAGCTGTCAGCACAGGCCCTGATGCAGGGCTTGAACCCACAAATCATGAGATGACCTGAGCCAAAGTCAGAAGCTTAAGCAACTGAACCACCCAGGCCCCCCTTATGACCACCAAATTTAAGATCCACTATTCCAAATGACTTGGCATATTTTGGAAATCTGTAACCAAACTGTTGGTTGTCAAAATGATTTGGAGGCACCCATGGCATTCACTGTGGGGGTGGTTAGAGATGCTAGATGCCCTCTAGGGAGAGTCCAGCACAGCCAACCATCCTCATGATTTCCCAGGGTCTCACCAGATATTCACATTCACATAGGTGAAAAATCTATTATAATAATGTAAGCCTAGAACACAACCCCATTTTACATATAAGCACAAAATATTTTTTGTGTGGTTTTAATATACACTGAATTTCTCAGGAATGCAACTACCATGTTAATCAAAGATTATTTTATTAGAAAACTTTTTGAAAGTTGTGAAATCACAATTCTGACAGCTCACCAGTATAGAACATCAGCATCAGACTGCATGTGCTACACCTACAGTGATTCTATGTCTAGGCATAAACATTTGAAAACTTTAAGTCTTTTAATGTAGTCACACCCAAGTGTGTAAGGAAAAACTCAGTTTTCCTCCCTTACTCTCATACTACTACCAAACTCACAACTTCTGATACCAGGTGTGTGGAATTTTTTGCCCATACCGAACAATTCTCTGTGACACCAGCAAGGGGTCTTATTAAATTTAACTCAGTTCTGACACTAGCTAATGGAGACAACATGAGATCCCACAGGTTTAAGGGCTCAGTCCCATGAGATTGCCCCCACTTCAGATGTCAACTGCAATTAGTAGTTACCCATAACCTCTGTCTGACTTGGCTACAAATCAGAAGTTCCCATGACCTCCTTCCCTTGGATTCAATTACCTGCTAGAACAGTTCACAGAACTTAAGGAAACATTTACTTATGTTTACCAGTTTATCATGTTATAAAGGATATGACAAAGGATACAGACGAACAGCCAGATGAACATATACACAGAGCAAGGTATGTGCAATATGGAGCTTCCATGCCTTCTTTAGGCAAGCTACTCTCCTAGAACCTAGATGTGTTCAATAATCTTGAAGCTCTCTGAACCCCGTAATATTGGGAATTTTATGGAGACTTCATCACATAGGCATGACCAATTATCAACTCCATTTCCAGCCCCTCTCTCCTCTTTGGAGAGTGGGGGGTGGGGCTGAATATTCCAAGCTTCTAATTGCCACTTGGTCTCTCTGGTGACCACCCCCATCCAGGACCCAACCAAGAGCTCACAGAGTTGACTCATTAAAACAAAAGACATTGCTATCACCCAGGAAATTCCAAGGGATTTATGAGCTCTGTGTCAGAAAATGGGGGTCAGAGACCTATATATACATATTTCCCATTATTCATACCAAACGTTTACATATTGAAGTATTATTTTTTTATAAATGGCTTTCTTTTTATTTCTCCTTGACATTGTTGTTAGAGCATTATTTTCATTTCTTTGAAAATATACATGTGAGGTAGATTATATCTATGAATTTCACTTCAGGATAGTAAACAGGATGTTACAAATATAAATTATAAAACAGTGGACACTGATCTGATAAGGTGAAGAATAATTGCCCTTGATACTAAAGAACATGCCTTAAACACATAAAATCTTTTTTTAAATAAAACAGCAATCATGAAGTTACATTTTTTAAGAAACAAACAAATCTGGCTAGTAAATGGATGTGTTCTGGGTCTATGATCCAGAAGAATATGAAAGAGAGTGAGAGATAACAAAATGAAATTGCCTTATAGATTTGTGTTGTTGTTGAAAGATAAAAAAGATGTCCATTATCAAACTGAATATATGTGTTTATAGAAAAGTTTCATAATAAAATCAACCACTGTGGTCCTCCATAGGCTCAGAAGAGCTATCCAAATGCCAAGTGTATAATATACAACACACTAAAGACCAGGTGGGGCGTTTACTAACCCAACCAGGCTCAAGGAATA